TGAGGCCCTGGGTTCAATTCCTCAGCACCACATAAGCAAAAAGAAAAAAGCCGGAAGTGGCACTGTGGCTCAAGTGATAGAGCACTAGCTTTGAGCTGAAAAGCTAAGGGACAGCATCCAGGCCCAGAGTTCAGGCCCCACAACTGGACCCCCCCCCCAAAAAAAGAAAGTATAGGCCAGCATGTACATAATTTAATTTTTGATAAATGAGAGAGAGAGAGAGAAAGAGTGAATAGATGCGGGGATAATGCTTAGTGAAAACCCCAGGTACACTTAGTAAAACTCAAGACAGATGTGCTACATTGTTAACAATGGACACCTCTGAAGAAAAAAGAAAAAAACAGATAAATAAAAGTTGGAACAATTTTCACTTTTTCTTTACAACTTCTTACAAATGAAGCTTACAAGAAAAATAGAGAATTAAACTCAAGGAGGGATGATGCTAGCAGGAGGGAACTGAGCTAACAAGGAAGATGGAGGATGTCTAATACTGAGAAACAGATCATTTGCAAGTATGAAACAAGAACAATGAAACCTGAAATTGTTTTGGGAAGGGGGAAAGGGAGGCAGGGAGGGTGATAAAGGGGTGAGATGGATTGGAATTCACTAATGTAAGCTAATTTTTAAAGAATAGAGCTTGTTTATAATATTTATTTTCTTCTGTAAGTTAAACTTCTACAAGGAAAGATTATATATGTGTGTGAGCACACCACACACACACACACACATATGAGCACACTTATCTTACTGCCATGTGTCCCCATGGGCTTGCACATAACACACACATGCATGTGTGAGTTTTGTATATGCATCTAGATGGCTCTTGTTCCTACCAACTGTCCCCCTAACTTGAACACCCTCAACACACAATATCTCATTAAAAGTTCATATCAACCGTGTCACACAGGTACTATTATTGTCATTGTCCTGTAACACAATTCTGAGGAGGAAACTCAACTGCCGAGGAGTCCAGGCCACACAATGTGCTAGGGCTCTGAATAGCCCAAGAAGTTTGGATCACCTGCTCCTCCTGGGAGAGAGCCCCTTGATCATATCAGCACACCTCCAATGGCCAGGCCCATCCCCAGGCACCTCTGCCATCTCCTGAGCATTCCTACCCTGGCAGAGAGGACGGAGATGTGTGGTTAGCTCCTTCCTATAAACCCCCAAATTGCCTCAATACACACATTAAGAGCCTCACAAGAGGAACCAAGTCACTCTCACCACCCTAGAGGCTTCTATAGTAAATCACTGGTCATCTTCTCTGAGAGGAAGATCGGCCATTCACAAGACAGCTCTTAGCACTTCCCTTTAAGCACTTCCCCTTCCTGTCCAAGCAAGGCTGGCTGTAAAGAAGCATCCTCCAGCCCTCAGTCCTAAGGAAGAGCAGAACCTTAAGCCATGGCTACCACCTATAGACTAGTACAATTCAGTTCCCTTCCAAACCCCAGCTGGCTGACATGGAGAGGGCCAGGTTAGCAGAACTTGAGGCGGCTGAGGACTGTACAGGAGGTAAAGAGAGGGATGTGCCACGTAGAGCTGCCATATGTACAGTAGTCCTTTGCAGCAGGTCCCTTAAATATGCTGTTTTGCATTTGCTTAGTGATCTGTAACAATGGGAGAAACAGAGGCTTAGGGAGATTAGGCTACACAACTGTTGGATCTAGATCCAAGTTCTTCTCAAAGTCCACACTTGGCACAGGACTGTGAGCTCTCTACCCTAGAAGCAGAATGGCCCACACTGGGCAGTTTCTAAAACCTCTGCTGCCTGCAGCCCACCACAAGATTTCTCACTGGATCCATCTAGTGTGGAGATTAAACTTTTTTGTTTTGTTTTTTGCTTTCTGTTTCTTGGTTGGTCATGGGGCTTGAACTCTGGGCCTGGGTGCTGTCCCTGCACTCTTCAGTTCAAGGCAAGCACTCTACTACTTGAGCCACAGTACCACTTTCAGTTTTCTAGTGGTTTATTGGAGATAAGAGTTTCACAGACTTTTCTGCCTGGACTGGCTTTGAACTGTGATCCTCAGATCTCTGCCTCCTTAGTAGCTAGGATTATAGGCATGAGCCACCAGCACCCGGCTCAGACATTGTTATCTTTTAAATTCCTGGGTCATGGTAAGAAGCACTCAGGATTGGAACATCATCTGAAGATCTAGTTTCCCAGGCAAGAAACATAGCCACTAGCTATATAGAGCTACTGAAATCATTAAGATCAAGATGCACTGTACTCATAGACTGACGAGATAAATGAAATCCCTCTGTACAGCTACTTTAAGATAATTTTTATGGAAAAGAAATGCAAATCAAAACAACATTGAGATATCACCTCACTCCAGTTAGAACGGCAAAAATCAAGAACTCTAACAACAACAGATGCTGGAGGAGATGTGGACAGAAAGGAACCTTACTTCATTGTTGGTGGGAATGTAAACTTGTTCAACCACTTTGGAAAGCAGTATGGAGGTTCCTCAAAAGACTTCACA